CTGCTTTGGGGTTCCCTCTCCCTTAGTGGGGACCCCGCTGCTCTCGACTCCAGATCCTGGAGGACTACCTGCTGGCGGAAGATGCGCCTCTGCTGGAGGAGATGGCTGAGGAGGACGAAGAGCTCGACCTGTACAACGAGATGACTTTTGGGTTAGGTAAGATCCCAAGGAAGCCCCAGCACTGGGGAGATCAGCCAGCACCCAAAACCGGTGAGGAGTATGGAGGTGGAAGGGGTGAGGAAGGTCTCCTCCTGCTTGATGGAGGAGCTAGAGCACATACCCTGACGTGCTCTGCTTCTCCCCTCTCTAAGACCGAGACTCGGCTGAGGAGGACACCACAAAACCTCGGATGCCTCCAGAGTTGAGCCCTGAGCTGGCAGAATTGGTGGTGCAGCAGACTGAGGCCAGGGAGGAATTGGGACCTGGAGCAGCTGAGCAACTGGAGGAGCTGGGAGATCCCCAAGAGGAAGGTGGGATGGAGCTGGGGCTTGAGCAGGCTGGCTCTGACTTGGAGGAAGAGGAAGAGGACCTGGGCACTGAGGAGCAGGAGGAGAATCAGGAGCCCTGTGAGGAGCCCAATGACCTGGGAGACCCAGCAGTGATGAGAGCCGTGCAGAGCAAACCCACGCTGGAGGTAACATGGGGAGAGGGAGAGGACCCACTGCTCACTCCTCCCCCCTCAAATCTGTGGGTCCTGCCCCGTGGAAGGCACTGGCAGATAGTTTGTTCCCCAGGTGGGAAAGAGCCATCGTGAGGATGTGCCTGTAACCTCTTTTTTGCTTGCAGAGCCAGGACTCGGCAGTGTTGGACAGCAAGATCGATGCTTGCTGGGCAGACTTTGGCAAAGAGGATGTGGTAAAAACGTCCCCTCCTGTCTGGTGACATGGCCAAGTGTTCCCTGTCCCTCTCCTCCTGTCCCCTTTCCCCATGCTGACCGTTGTCCTGTCTTCCAGCTGGCAATGGATCCTGCAGCATGGGGCTCCTGCCCCACCAGTGTCTCGCCCCACCACGTACTGGAGGTGAGTTTCTCCCGACCAGGGATATCCAGGGGGGAGATCTGAGGCAACAGGGGGAACCTCCAAAACCTCATCGTGGGTCTGGAGCTATCTCTTGAACTAAGGCTGTGTGTGGAGATGTCTGCCCTCAAGAGAGGCTGGGTTTGAAGGCAAAGCTGTGGTGTTACAGAGGGCTAGAACTCCTATGCTGGGTGTCCCCATGGGTCCCCTGTTCTCCTGGGTTACCAGGATGGGATCACAGGTGGTGTGTGGTTTGGTCAAGTGATCGCTAAAGGTTTTGGTGAACTGAATTGATCCCAGCTGAGTCCTGTTGCCATCTCTTGCTGCTTCCACCTTCCCCACCAGGATAAAGCCATCCTCCAGGTC